TCAGGGCATCTTATCATCTTGTAGATGACATCTTTCTTAGCAGCCATTGCTTGGATTCGTCGGTTGACATTCAGCGACCTAATGTCCAGATCTTCTTGAGCCAGCTTTTTTGCCCATTGGGGCTGTCTCTTAACCATGGGGTAGACTACAGGGGATGGTGGGCGCCCGGGTGGTTGGGTGGGTTGTGGAAGACGCAGTATGGGTGAGAGGTGTTGTGGGCTGCGTGTAGGGGATGGGGCACTAGAGTCGTTGGTGGGCGGCTGTGCCTATGGAGGGTCAGGAGACGTCGAGGTTGACGAGCAGCCCATGTTCTGTTGTCTCCGAGTGTCAATCATTTGAAATGACGAGTTCTTGTTGAGTCAGTTTAATGTTGACAACATATTTAGATCCAGACTTTGGTCTTAATGGGGAGGGCGAGTGGTGGGTCTTCCCACTAGTTGTGTTCCTCCAGGATGTTGTCTTCCAGGAAGGTCTACATGAAGATAGGAACCCGTTCTTTTTTTTTTTTTTTTTTTTTTTTTTTAATTGCTCCAATCTATTTGTGGGGAGCATCACGTGCTGGGAACCGGGCCCAGCGTCCCTTATAATGGGAATACATTGATGATTGACAATTGATGAAAACCCTGTGTAGAGTCCAGGTGAAGTTAGTCCTGAATTGGGCAGTCGGGAGATCCGTGAGTTCCAAAGGAATTGGCCATTGAAAGTTGGTGTCAGACTTCGGGTTGTCGCTTTGTGAATCGACAAGCAAGATGACTGGCGTGATGGCTTTTGGGAATGATAATGAGTTTGGTAATACTGCTCCCAAGATGCCCTCCACGTTTGTCGCCCAGACCCAGTATCGAGTTGTTTGAGAATCACCACTGTAGAGGAGTTACCTCTCCATGCTTCCATGGTGATTCCTTTTTTTTTTTTTTTTTTTTTAAACACCCCCCGGTGATAGTGGTGCTGATAAGAGCAGCCACCGCTATCAGAGGGGAAGAGGCTCCATCTATTGGTGGGGAGCATCACCTGCTGGAAAGCGGGTCCAGCGTCCCATATACAAAATATAATCAGGAAAACAATGTGGAGGACCCTTGCCAGCATTGATTACCCTGGAATCCAGGGGATTGACTGAGCAAGGCATTGGAAAAATTGGAAAAATTTAGAAAAGACCTGCCACTGCGCAGGTTGTATCAGAATATAACTGAGATGAAAGCTAACTTCCGAAGATCGTCTGCACACGATGTTGAGCTGCTGGGAGTAAACCTCTTCGCCCTATACCAGGCGCCAAATTTCTGCTGCTGAAGGACTAGTTTCCCCCTGAAAGTCTGATGGTCCACTTCACCCTGTAGCAGGCCGTTTTTCTGCTGCTGAAACTTCATTTTCCTTTCCTTTTCGTGTCAGGACCGGGGTACAGGAAGAACCACTGGGGGCCACCAGTGGTTCTTTCCGTTCCTTGCCCATCCTTCCCGCAGGATCCCTCCTCGGCCACTCTTCTGCCATTCCCCTTTGCTGCGTCTGATGAGGTGGGCTAAGAAAAGGAAGATGGATTAACCGGGTTTTAGTGGAAGGGCAGGAGAGGCATCGGTTACAGGTATGCTTCCAAGGACTGTGGGTGGGGGGGGAATGGGTCCGGGAATTCATCTGCACGTCTCATAGGGATATTGGGATCTATTGACAGCCAATCCTTGCATCTCAATCTGTAGTCCCTTGGCACTTCCTCTCCGTGGCTGTCCTCCCCCCTTTCCTCCTCACTCCAACCCCCGGTCCAGCATACTTCCGCCACCCACCCCTCTCGGTCTCCACCCAACCATTCCCTGGAAAACTGTAGTAGACGTACCCGGATATCTTTGGGGCTATGAAGATTATCTAATGTTTGTTTCATCGAGTTCCACCTGTGCGTGAGTTCCAGTTGGACATGTGTCTTGAATTGTTTCATCCTTTCCCCTCCCTCTACCCGGACTTGGTCTAAAGTTAGTATGCATCTTTGCCACCACAGGACCCACAGGACCGTTCTCCGGGATAGATGGAACATGTTGGACACAAAGGTGTCGTCTTGGAAGGGAGGATAATGGCCTGGTAGGATGGCACGGCAATCCCAAGGCCACAGGTGCCCCGGGACCATTTGTTGCCATACCCTGTCCCACCACCTCCAGGTTAGAATGGCTGCAGGGCACTGTAGGAATATGTGCTCGATTGTCTCTGCCCTTTTCCTAGCCGGAAAACCCAACAGATAACGAGAGCACCAGGGTAGGGCCCGGCCTTGCTGTTCTAGTTGTGTATGGTCGATCAACCAGTTGTTGGTAGGCAGGCACCGATGCACGATTTGCCACTGCAGAGATGTAATTTTCGTCGGTTTACATTTGGTATCGTTGAACCAATGTATCGGGGTAAGGAGCTGCCTATCTACGTTGAGGTGCTTTTGCCAACGATCTATCACTGTGTCTTTTAAGCAGCGCTTTACTCTGAGCATTCGATACATCGCTTTGACTGATAGTCCGGATAGCGTTTTGTGTTTGGTTTGTCGAGAGTTGTTTCGCAGGTCGGAGTTCCATACCCATTCCAACGGGTCCATGTGGTGGGCCTCTAATGCAATCTCAGGATAAAAGGCCCGCCGGTTTTCTCCATCCTCCAACACCCTGATCCTGTTAAGCATGTCCTTTTGAATCCATTGGAAGGGTTCCAGGTTACATACTAAGCTCCCTTTTCTTTCCACAGTGTACCATTCAATCAGCACCTCCCTCAGCCGGGTTAGGTGAACTAGGCCCACTATGTTGACTTTTCTTTCCATGGCCACCCAATCACCCTCCTTCAGCACCTTTCCTCTGCGAAGGATGGGCCACCACCCTACTGGGAGGGCTTCCGTTATTTCTGCCAGTGCTGCTTCGATGTTATGACAGTACCTTAAGTCTTCTCTCATCTTTTCCGAACTTTTCCAATCCAAACTTTCCTTGTCCCAGAGGTCACCCACTCTCGTTACCCCGTTCTTCACCCATCCTTTCCATGGGTTGTCGGAACTACAGAAAATCTGACTTTGTTCCTTAGTGATCCATCTGTTCCCAAAGAGTGGTTGCCTTGCCACCTCCTCCCACCTGTCCGGGTGCGGGCGATTTGGGGGGGGAAGTTTTCTCCAAATCTTTAACAGCCGGGGCCAAAATCCATCTCTCCTTCCCTCCTCGCCTCTGGAGCGCCTAGGTACTCTCCAATATCTATCCTCTAACCAACGTAGGGGGTGGACAGACGGCGGGGCCTCAGGGGCCAGACGAGCCATTTGTTCCAGTGCTAGTGACCTCCATACTAGCGGGTTTTCGAAAATCAGGCATATCACCTATTGCAGGCTGAGGGCTTGGGATTGACAGAGGGGGTCCAGAATACTGAGGCCTCCTTTTGTCTTGGGTTGAATAACTGAGTCCCATGCCACTCGGCTTATAGCGTGGGGGTTTTCGCTGTCTCCTCTCCATAAGTAGACATCCACCTTCCTCTTCATGGTCCTTAGAGCCTCTGGGCTTAGGGGCCAAAGGATCGATTTGTACTAAAGGGTGGCAAGCACCACGTTGTTAATTACCACGGCACGCTCAAAGAGTGATGTGTGTTGGTGGTTCCATTGCGAGAGTTTAGCAAAGGCCGGGGCTGATAGCCATCCGTCGTTTTCTGGGGGATTCCCCTGGGCGGACATCTTGACTCCCAAGACACGGATGGGGGAGTCAGGGGCTACCCAAGTGATGTGGTGCCCCTCTGGCCTCTGGGGGACGACCCCCTTGGTGATGGAGCCACCAACCGATTGTTTTCTGTCCCCAATTTATAGACATGTCGAGAGGGTGCAAAATAGGGCCATGAGCCTATATAGCACCTCCATATTTTGTTGTGTAGCGTCAGCCATGATTGTGAGGTCGTCTGCAAAAAGCGAACAGACCGGGACTGCTTCCCTGGGGATTCCAGTATCCCGAATTCTTTTTAAATCTTTGTCCTCGCGGAGGTTGGTTGCTAACGCTTCCATTATAATGATAAACAAAAAGGGGGCTATGGGGTCCCCTTGTCTGACCGAGCGTTGCAGTTTTATCTCCGGGGCTAGGGACCCGTTTATCTGAACGCTGGTGGTGGCATTATAGTGCAAAATATTCACCCATCGTCTAAAATTGGGGCCAAAGTTCAGTGTTTCCAAACATCTGTCTAGGAAGATCCAATCCACATGGTCATAAGCTTTTTCGAAATCAATGAAGATAAAAGCGGCATTGGATTTAGATTGATGAGCCAGGCTAATCATTTCGTTGACTAGTAGTATATTTTCCTGAATGTTCCGGTTGCGCATAAAGTCAGACTGGGATGGGTGAATGATGTCTTCCATTACCTCGATCATCCGATTGGCCAGAGCTTTTGACAACATCTTATATACCACTGTCAATAGTGTGACGGGGCGGTAGTTTCTGATATTCATTTTGTCTCCTTTTTTGTGAAGCAGTGAAAGCACCCCTTGCCCTACCAGCTCTCCAGAGTCCCAGACGGCTCCATAGAACCTCATCAGATCTTCGCTCAGGAGGGGCCACATGTATTCCGAAAACTCCTTGGGAAAGCCATCTAGACCCGGGGTCTTTCTTCGTCCATTTGCATTAGGGCCGTCCAAATTTCCTCTTGGGAAATTCGTCGATCCAGATGGTCCTTCTGTTTCGGAGAAAGGAGGCCTTCCAACGGGCGCATGAATTCTTCCAATTTTCTTAATCGATCTTCCATGGTGGTTCCTAATTGGGCGAAGTTGCGCTTTTGCCATGTGAGGCCTTCAGTCTAGTGGCATGGTGGTCTGAGTCCCATCAACCATTCTTCTCCCACCCCTCTCCTTCTCCGTGGGAGGAACGACAACTCCTGGTGGCATGGCCACCAGGGTGCTGTCATCTTTTAGGAATCTCACCAATTCCTTCAGTTTATTGAGGATGTCAACGTTGTGTGTTTCATCATCTCAGTCTTGTCCAGTTTGGTCATCGTCATTCTTGAGGAGGTCAATCACGCGGATCTGGCTTTGGGAAAGGTTAGGGCCAACAACTATGGTGTTGTTGTTCCTCGCATTGATATGTCAATTGCTCTAACTCATGATGGGGGCTGAGCAGGGCCCGGTGGGCGGAGACAGGATGTTGCTCAGCTCCTCCGAGTCGAGTGGTGTTTCTGTCATTTGGTGGGGGCTTCAGGAGTCCCGTTGTTTCTTTTACTGGTTGGCTGTACATGGTGCCGCTAGTTCTTGGACCAGGGTCTTAGGTCATACTATCCCCTGGTGGAGGAATGCCCCTTCCTGTGGGTTATGGCCGTTGAGACCTTTGGTGGCCCTGTTGGTGTTGAAATGGGTGTTAGCATACAAGTTATGATACAACTCAATTTTGTCCAGGAATGTTTTGACCAGAAGAACTATGCCCCTCCCCACATCCATCCAATTGATGGCTGAGACTTCCGTATCTTTTTCCACAATGGCCAGCACCCAAGGGCTATACATCAGCACCATCTTTGCCTCTTCCTATGCTTGGTGTTCAGGTTATCCCCCGGTCTGTCCTCTGTTAGGGAGAAAATTTTCATCAAAGTCCATTCCGTCAGAAAGTGCAACTTCTGTTTAACACCCTCGTTAGTGGAGAGCAGGGGGGGGGGTTGCGCATTTTCTACAGGCAGGGTGTGTTTGTGGGCTGCCTCTACTTCCATCTTGGTGGGTGTTGCTGTGCACCCTCATCTGGGTTCTTCCGGCCCTTCACCACCTGAAGAGTCTCCATGGGGGCTGAAGTGTCCACGTGTTGGGGCTACTGCTGCTCGGCCTGACAATCTGGCTGTGAAATCTGGGGCAACGACTAGTGCAGCTGTAGTTGTTGCTGTTGCTGTTTCTGTTTTTCTTGTTCTTGCTGCCAGTACATCTGGAATTGCTGTTTCTGTTGTTGCACGTCCTGCTGTTGCTGCCAGCGGAGTTGTTGATGCCATTGTGGCTGAAACTGCTGTTCCTGTTGTCGTCGTTGGTGCAGACTGATTTGTTGTTGTTGTTGCTGCAGCATATGTTCTTGTTGCATCAGTCGCTGTTGCTGGTGCTGGTCCTGCTGTTGTGCCAGCTGAGCTTGTTGGAGGCGCTGTAGCTGCACGTCGTGCTCATTTTGTTGCGTACGCTGCTGTTGTTGCTGTTGTTGCTCTGCCTGCCATTGTATTTGAAATTCCAATTGTATGCTTTGCTGGTGTTCTTGTCGTTGTTGTTTTTGTTGCTGCAGCTGTTGCTGTTGGCAGTGCAGGGTTTGCTGTTGTTGTTGTAGCAGGTGATGTTGAATCTGCTGATGTAGTTGCTGCTGTTGCAGCTACTGCGCCTGTTCTTGTTGCAGCTGCTGTTGGTGTTGCTATGGCTCTTGCTGCATTCGCTGTTGCAAATGTAGTCGTTGCTGTTGTTGCAGCTAAAGCTGTTGCTGCATTGCTTTCTGCTGCAGTTGCTGTGCATGCAGTTGTAGTTGCAGCTCTTGGTGGTTTTCGTGCTGCTGGAGCTGTTGAAGTTGGCACTGTCTCTCTTGTTCTAGCTGATGCAGCTAGTGTTGTTGTTCAGATGCGAGTGTTGCTGTCGCAACTGTTGAGCTTGGTGTTGTTGTTGTTTCTGTTGCTGTTGCAGCTGCATGAGCTGCAGGTATTGCTGTTCTTGTTCTCTTTGCTCTTGCTCTCGCTGTAGCCACTGCGTCTGTTGTTGTTCTCTTTGCTCTTGCTCTCGGTGTTGCTGTTCTTGTTCTCTTTGCTCTTGCTCTGTTGCTGTTGCTGTTGCTGTTGCTGTTGCATGCATCTGTTGTTGCATCTGTTGTTGTGTCTGTTGTTGCTGTAACGGTTGTACCCCTGCTGGTGTTGCAGCTGCATTTCTTGTGGTTGCTGTTATTCTTGCTCGGCCTGCAACTGTAGTTGTGATTGACGCCGGTAAGCTGTTGCTGCTGCTGCTTTCGTTGGTGGCCCTCCTGTACCTGCACCCGCTGTTGCTGTTGATGTTGTAGTTGGAGCAGCCACTGCGCTACCTAAGAGCTTCCTGGATGTATCTGATGACAATAAGTGATGAAACTCAGTGAAGAAATTATACTTTGAGTATGCCGTCAGTTCTCCTATGACAGGCAAGGCCATTACAGAATACGACTGACGAGGGCATACTCACACCAGGGACTCTCTCTACTAAGCACTGGGCGTGATTGCGGTCAGATCATCCATGTGTGGCCGTAATACCAGTCAGATAATTTAGAAAAGTCCTAGTGTGGCTCATGTGGAATGGCCGGGGCGGGAAGGGGATGGGAAGGCGGGCTTAGAGGGGGTTGGGGAGGAGAGACTCATTGGGAAGGACTTCTCTCTCATCTTTCGCGATTGGATGCAGCTAGACCCCGGCCTCCTGATGTGGCCTCCTGGGCGTTCCCCGACATGTTCCCCCCCTCAGAGAACGCTTTGGTAGGTATGCATTGGTATGCACAGGGCGAGTAGTCAGGACTCAGAATGAGCAGTCTTCCAGGAATCGGTTCCCTAAGGCCAGAGGCATGCTAGTAGGCGATCCCTTTACTCAGGCGGCCTGGGTTCAGACTGAAGAGGCATGGCCTCAGTGCCCGACAATCCAAGTCAACCTCAATCTTTCCTTATCAGGAAAGCAGGACCCATTTTGCAGCGGACCAATAGATTGAGCCTCCCCTGGGGTGCAAGCGGTGCCTGCTCATCACAGCACCTCTAGCAACCACGAGGGTGTGTTGTTCAAAAAACAAAAACAAAAAAGAAAACACAAAAAAAGCACACACTGAAAAGATCACAAGTGTATGGTTTCTTCCTTTATGGTTTCTTCATTTTGAGGAGAGGGGCTTCTTCCTTTTCAGGAGATCTTCGCATGTGGGGGCCAACTGTACAGAGGTCCTTAGGGGGAAACAATGCAAAGCACACCAAATTAAAATTCTTTCATCTTTTTTAACGTTGTGCGATAATGTGCAGGGAGTCTGAATTAGTCATTTTCAACTTTTTGAGAATTGACTCTTTGAATGTCGCGCACAATGCAAATGGTGTTCATAGCTGTATGGAAGTCGAACCATAAATTGGGCCTCTAGATGTGTGTCGTCATCTCATTGGTGCCGGGCTTTCCCCGAAATGGTGGGCCAGATCTTAAATTGCCCTCCCTCCAATACTTTCCTTATCAAAACTGAAGCTTCAAGCCATCTATGTTGTCTGAAATGTCAAGCGGTGCACTGACCATCCCTGGAGACAGAAGTGGTACAAACAAACTGTGAACCCCATAAAAGAGCAGGAAAATAAAGCGAGCCACAAGTGAAAAGTGCCCTAAAGCCAAGAAAAGGACAAGAAAGATGTGGGATA